CTCCGGTTGCGGCTGCTCGCCGGCTGCAGCGGAGAAGGGGAGGGGGCGCGGGGGGAAACAGCCTCCCATCGCCATGGATACCGGGGGACCCGCACGCAGCCCCCCGCGGATGAGGCAGCGCGGGGGCGGGCAGCCCACGCGGGGCAGGGAGAGGGAAGGGAGAAGGTTCGGTCCCTAGGGAGAGTCCGGATCTCTGTCCCCTCGCTGCCGCCGAGGTCCCCACACTGATGCTGGCAGCTGATGGCCGGTGTCCCCGGCAGCTCCACTGTCCATCCCGGGAAGAAAATATGCCAGGAGCCTCAAGACGAGTGGGGAGATCCCACATCCATGAATCCACACGCAGGGAAAAGCAACACGATGTTTAGGGATGCTGGTCCTGGCTCCAGGCTGCTCCACTTAACCCCAGCTCCTCCAGCACACCCAGCATCTCTTACCATAATCTTTTACCAAAGTTTGGCAAGCCTAGAAGTTAAATGTTTACAGGATTTACAATTCCTGGCGGTCCCCAGCCCGCACGGAGCATTGGGAAGTGTTTGCCCGTTAAATACCCAAAGGAACAAACAAGGGAGATGTTTAAACGAGGCGTTTTGAGATAACACCTGGGGTTTCTCCCATGAGTTTTTGAGGTTTTTTTTGCAGGCAGCCAGCTGCTAAGGGACATGGGTGTGCTTGGAAGTGGCCTCCCTGCCACCGAGAAGTCGCTTTCTCCAGGATATTTCTTCCTGGGAAGGGAATCAGCACAGCTCGAGGAACTACAGCACCCGAGAGGTGGATGCACACTTCTGGGGACACCCACGGGGTGAGCAGCCTGTGGAGACCCACTGGCATTTGGTGGCACTGGTTTCCACGGTGAAAAAACAGAAGGGAACAAAAATTCCTTGGAAAACAAGGATTTTTCCAGGGAAATACTGCTTGGGTCTGTGAGAATCCAGCTGGAGGCTGCAGTGAGCAGCTGTGAGAAGGGGCTTCTTTAAGGACAAGACTGGTAATTCGAATTTAATCAGATACAAACCCCCTGATGAAACAGGAAAGCATTTAATCAGGCACTTGGCACACCACCACGTCAGCAATTCCAGGGAGAACCCTTACAGCCGCAGGGATGCCCTCCGCTATCTCAGCTGCTCCTCACCAGCACCCAGCTGGGAGGGTGAACATCCAGATCTCCCCCCAGCTCCTCTTGCAGCTCCTCTGCATCCTCAAAAACACATAAGCAGGAGATTGCCTGGCTTGGGACTTGGCAGAGCCATCCCTTCACGGGGGAGCCCCGCTGCTTGCTTTTAATTTAGGAAAATCGAGGCACTCGCTCAGGTTTGGGACAGAAACAGGGGCGTAGCAGGGACTGACCTAAGCCAAACCACTCTCGTGGGACCACTCTTGGGACAGCTCGGGCACCCTGGGATTCTGTCAGGCTTTAGGGATGGGCTCCTCTGGAGACAGCAGCAGGTCGAAGGGAACGAGGGGCCGGACCAGCAGCCGCACCTCGGGGCCGACGGGGTTCGCCCGCAGGTTGAGGCTCCGCAGCAACGCCATGGAGGCCAATTTATCCATGGGCACCTCTGGAAAGAGAGCATGGAGGTGAGAATCCGTCCTGGAGGGGTGGAAGGGATGAAAGCTCCTCTTGATGATCTGCTTTGATCAAAGCAGGAAGGCGGTGAAATATTAATTTATCCATCTGCTCAGGCAAATGGTTATCGGTTGGACTCGATGGTCTTTGAGGTCTTTTCCAACCTAAATGATCCTGTGATTCTATGGAATGTGTCAGCAAGGTGCAGACACCAAGATATCCAGTGTGGGCACTGCCCTTCAGTTCTCCCAGTCCTGCTGGGACACTAAATTTGGATTCAAGGACTTATTCCCTGATTTTATCCCTGGTGTTGCAATGCCCAGGAGCCCTCTCCAAGCTGACAGGAG